AATAGTTTTCAATAAGAAATGGAGGTGATAAAATTTGTATGTTAGAAGGATCTCCTAGGGAGCTGGCTAAGAGTAGACACAAAAGGATAAGACTGGATATGTCCAGGCCAGCTGGGAGGCTATGGCAATGGTGTACAAGATAAAAGCAAAAAGACAGGTAAAGATGTTGAAGTGGGAGATTGGATTACTAAGAGGAGGAATCAATGTAAATTATAGAGAGGAATCAAAGATAACTCTCAGAGTTATAGCTATAGGAATTAGGTAAAAAATGATATAAGAATATAAGAAAAGGAGTTGGTGTTATTTGGATTCATGTTGTATCTACATGATGTCAGGAGTTCACAAATGTCATCTGACAAGTGATCCAGAATCCACTGTATCCCCTGCATCATTGTTGACTCGTAGGTCTAGTATTCATGCTTTGCATCTTTAATATGTTCATGCCTCACATAGGTACTGAGTGTAGAATATGTCTTGGGCACTATTTCAGGTGCTGGCAGAAAAGGTAGTGAAAACCCAAGTTTTAGCTGGTAAACTAAGATTAGTAATGCAACAGATGAGACCTTTCATAATATTCTTGTGAACGAAATGGGCTGATTACAGACAACTCTGTACACTGGTAAGAGAATGGATAGTTTGTTCAATGTATACTGATTAGGGAACTGCTATTGTCTTGAAGAATGGTCTCACCTAAGTTTGGTGGTCCTCTGGCTATTTCTTTTTCAACTACCTTATTAATTATGTGGATAAAGATGGAGGAAGCATGCTCAATCATGTTTACTTTTAAAAGGGTGAGAAAAATATGAAAACAGTAATCCATAATGATTTCGGATAAAATCTGGGTAAAAGAGGTGAGCCCAGGGATGCCTGGGTGGCTCAGTCTGTTAAGCGTCTGCTTTCAGCTCAGGTCAGGATCCCAGGGACCTAGGATCAAGTCCCGAATCGGGCTCCTTGCCTCTGCCTGCCACCCCCCCGCTTGTGCCCTCTCTCTCTGACAAATACATAAATGAAATATTTTAAATAATTAAATAAATAAATAAAATCTCTTTAAAAATCAAATAAAATTAAGATTAATAAAAATTAAATTAATAAAAATTAAATAAATAAATCTTTAAAAAATTAAATAAATTAATTAAATAAATAAAAGAGGTGAGCCCAGATAAAATTTAACAAAGTAATTATGAACTCGTATTTGGGGGAAACACACTTGTACAAGCACATGAGTGGAATAACGAGACAGTTAAGAAGCGAATCTTCAGTTTATTTGTAGAAATGTAGTATATGAAAGCACCAATGTGTTCCTTTTGGAAGAGGCCACGGAGAGGACGTGGCCGCCAGTAGACCCATGAGCTGGCTGCGGGCAATCAGAGGCTTGTCACCCCCTCTCCTGTCCTTGGAATGTACGTTCTGCCCACTGTTCCCACAGTGGGAATCATTTTCGAGGACACAGCCTTGAGAGAGCCATGTGTTGTTGAGACCATCTGGATGGTGTACGTGACTGAACACAGTTAAGGCCTCTATATCAACACTTAAGATTCTGGCAGGCGGGTGTGGAGATCTACATGTCTTGCAGTTGCCCAAGACAAGCCTTGTAAGGAAGTTCTTTTGCTTATTCCATCGGCCGCCTACCAGTCTGGAGTGGCCTGCCTCTTCCTCAGTCTCCCCTTGCCCTCTGTGTTCGGGTGCCATTTTATGAAACAAAAGTTCCATGCACGTCAGATCACACCTCCTTCATGGTCTCATTTGTGCATGTTCCACTTTACAGAAACATCCGCACCAGATACAGCAAAAGTACTCAGGGAATCAGGGTATTGAAGTCTTGAAGTTGTAACACATGAGGAAGAGATGATGGGAACGAGAATATTTATCTTGAGAAGTGGAGAATTATTTGGGGTGTATGTAGACAGGTGGTGGGACTGGGAAACACACACATTTTATCTTAAAATATTTTGAGCAAGGCTCATGGCCAGGATGTTATTTAAAATGACCTCCAGGAGTAGATTTGAAGTCAAGGTGTGAGAATGTCAGAACTGCTCTCAGAGAGAGCTGTGTTCCCCTTAATTTTTGTTTTCTTCTGGGTCTACCTAATCATTCATCAGGTGTGTTGTACATTGTCAAAAAAATTAATCTTGGACCATACGACCTTTAAAAAAAATCCCTTGAGCCCTGAGATTCTATGATTTTTGTGACCTGAGGACTCAAGGACTACGTTTAAAGACTAGAATGCTTTCAATCATGAACTTGATTCCAGATGCTGGAAGTCCTCCCACCCAGCATCCAACTCAGGCACCCTCCACTGTGCATCCAAACCATGGCCTTTTCCCTAGCGCTACCCCGAGGTCTGAAAGGTCAGTGAGTAACTCAGGACCTTCCAGGCAGAAATTGGGCTCTGTACCCACCCTCATTAGGATGCACGTTCTTGAGTTTCTGCACTCCAGGAGAGAGGAAAAGTAGGCGCTTCCAAGGCATTTAGTACTCCGGCAGAAAAAAGAAAATAAAAGTTTGCTAAAAGGAGAAAATTTTAAGCTATTCGTTTTATTTTGACAGAGTTCTGTGGGTCCAAGACTTTCTACTGAGTCACCAAGCCAGCCACGATATAACTATTTCAACTTACTGGGAGTATTATTTCTGAGTCACAGCAAGTAATATAATGATCTGAACACGTAAATGCTTTCTGTCACCTAGTACATCCGATCTTTATTTCACAGCTGCACACTCAGTAATGATGATATTCCTCGATGCACACCACACTGTGTGAAAATACCACAGGGTAAAAAAAAAAAAAGTGTCTAATTCATGGAAGAAATGTTCAAACACCAGGTCCCTATTTCACAGTGATTCTTTTCTCCCCCTCCGAAAATACGCAAAAAGTAAGTAAGACATGACTCATTTGTTACAAGTCCCATGTTTTCCCTGCAAATTCCTAGTCAGGTTTTGGAATTGATGCTTCCCTTCTACTATTCCCATATTCTCTGAGTCACCAAGGTTTTTAGATGTTGGCAGGAGAGCTTGTTCCTATGTCCTCATAGGGTTCCACGTGGCTAGGAAGGAATATCATGCCGGAAGTTGAACCAGGAGTGAGTGTAAGTACTACCCTTAGATCTAGGCATCCATGGCCCCGGCCTGGGGCCTTGTGCTTTGCAAGGCTTCTCAAATTATGAGGTGCAAATGGATTTCTTAGGATATTGTTAAAGGCACCCTGTGATTCAGTAGGTCTGGAGTTGGGCCTGAGAACTTGCATTTCTAACAATTTCTGTCTCTCCTCCAGACACGCCCCCTCCCCACAGGATGAGGAGTTCATGTGACCAAGGGAACTTGCCAACCCAGAACTTATGTCACTCCCTCCCAACCACACTCTGAGTTATCTGGAACTCCAGAATTCCCTGTCTAGACCACTTTCTGGCCAGTGCACACATTTCCCTGGTCTGTCCTCCCGATGGCAGATCCCCCCAACAGCATGTAAACCCCTGGGTTTGAGGGTTGACAAAGGGTCAACCGTTTGGAGGAGGCTTAGCTATGCGGGCTAGCGTGTGGCCCAGGCCCCCCTTGTACAGATGGAGATTGGGGAAGTAGGAGAAAAGGGTGGGCTCTGTTCCGAGGAACTTCTTTGTCTTCTTGCCTCAGGAGGCGAATGTTGGGGGTAGTCTTATGTCTGTTTGGGTAAGTAACAGGAAGAAATCCCATCCTTTTACAGCTTATCTGGATGTTGAAACCACAGACCTGCAGCTTGGATGGTTCTAGCTGGTGAGGAACTTTGCATCTAAAGTGCTCAGAGCAAAGAAAGAACGTTTTCTACCCTTTCATGCAACGCTCCACGACACTCCCCGGGGGACCACACAGTGTAGGAGACAGTGTATGGGGCTTTGAGGGTCCCACAGCCTTCAGCTGAACCCCCACTGTAACTTCCTACATGAATCTGAGCAAGGCAGTCACTCTGAGCAAGAGGTCATTCTTTGCCCTTGGTCTCTTGATCTTTATCATGGGAATAAGAATGCTTCCCTACTCTATTCTACCCCTTCCCCATATGCACCCAAATTACTCCTCTTCATCCCTCATCCTTTAACTCAAATGCCACCATCTTGAGTAGATCAGGCACCTCCTGCTAAGCTGGAAGGAACTGCATTCCTCTTTCTTTGCACTTTGTCCTTTTGTATTTGTGTTCTTGATGAATGTCCACTAGCCCCCTGGGTTCCAAGAGCAGGGATCATGTCTCTTGAATTCTCTAGTTGTGTCCTCTCCATCTGGTACACGGCCTGGCATCTGATAGATGCTAAACCTATGTTTGCCAAATGAGTAAATGAATGTGTGGTTATTGTTAAAATTAGAGATAAAATACACTAAGTGCCTGGCACAGAGTAGGTGCTTAATCAGTGACACTGATGATTTTTCAGTGCAGTCAGCACCTTAATCAGACATTTTATTTTGTTTCTTCATACTCTGTTCATGGGGGAGAATGGGGTGAATCTGGGACAACTACAGTTTGAACCGTCCAAGACAAGAAGAAAAAAATGTGGTGTGATAAACTCCTGGCCCAAACAGCCAGGAGCATGACATACTTTTTAAAGGCTTAAGAAGTTCAAGATCCATCATTTGAAAGAGAGAATAAAAAGTACAGGAGAAAGTTGTATTGGTCCATTGTGCTTGCCCCCCCAACCACTCATACCCCAAGCAGTACACCTTCTTACAAAGCCTCTGGTGAAAGTAATTCCCCACCCAAGTGCTCACACCCACATTGTCACCAGCCGCCCCCTTCCCCTTCACATCTAGGGGACTACTTTATCTGTCTCTTTAATATCATCCAGCCCAAATATTCCCTTGTCAAATATTTCTGGGGCCTACACTTGAAGAAAGAGACGATTTTCATAAATCTGCGAGCAGGACCTTTTTTTTTTTTTTTTAATGTCAAAATAAACCATCTGCTTGTACAACTGTTTCTAATTACTTCCCTGCCTAGACTCTGCACTTGAGGGGTTTGGTACCAGCACCCCGCCCAGAGCGGTGCCGCTGCCCAAATCCTCGCAGGCAGCTCATCAGACACTTGCGGCTCCTGGTAGAGAGGCCCGACCTGCACGCCCTGGTGTCTGTGTGTCCGTCTGCAGGCGGCCTGCGGGTGGCACCTCTCCCTGCCGCGCCCCCCGGCCCCCCCACGCCCCCATCGGGAGCCCCACCCAGCAGGAGCGCAGCTCTTCGGCACAGCCCCGGAGCTCAGCATGCGTCCCGCCGCCTTCAGGAACTTCTTGCTGCTGGCGTCCTCCCTTCTCTTCGCGGGGCTCTCAGCTGTCCCCCAGAGCTTCTCGCCATCTCTGAGGTAAGCCTGGTTTGTTATTCTTTGAGAGGAACCTGCCCTGCTTTGCGTGGCAGGGCTCAGGTCTGCAGGATGGCTGCCCTAAGCCAAGCGCAGTTAGAAAGTTGGACCCGGGATAAACTGTTTTCAACCTGTTCCTATTCCTTTCCGTCTATCTGCACCGTCTGTTGCGTCTTGTCTGTCCTTTTACTTTTCCTTCGGGAAAATACCGTGAATAAATATAAATATTTAACTTCTTCCTATTTTAGTAACTACCAGGAGAAACTTCTGCCATGAGCCTAAGGTAATCCTTTGTGTACCTGGGGTGTGCTCGTGCCCTATAAGGCAGAATATTTCACAGGGTCTGTATTACATTATTGTATTGCATTTCGAAAGAGACTGTGGGACACATAATGATAGCTAAACTTTTTAAAAGTACCGTTTCTAAGCACTGCTCAATGCAAATTTTCATAAAACGGCTGCCCCTGGCCATCAGCTAGCAATGGGACTTTTTAGAGTACTGAAAAGTCAGCCAAATGTCATACTTTGCATTCATTTGCATTTAATCTGAATGTGCATATAAGACTCAGTGGCAAGCCACCAAGAGGCAGGGCTGGATCACCTCTGTCCACTTGGAAGGCAGTCCTATTCCTAGGTGTGCAGGTCACCCCTCAGACATTTTGGGTCATGGTCATTTCGCTCGTGGTGGCCCATGGGTGGCCCCCAGAGGAACGTGGAACCTCAAACTTCCTTCCTGTGAAGTCGGACGTCGCCGCACGGGGGTGCACTGGGGGGAAACGGCGGCTCCGAGTAAATGGGGCAGTGTCTGCTCTTGACCGTGGCCCTGCTGTGGTCTGTCGCCCTTGCAGGAGTGCGACTGGTGCCGCGTGCAGGCTGTCCCGGGCCGAGTCGGAGCGCCGGTGCCGGGCGCCCGGGCAGCCCCCAGGGGGCGCTCTGTGCCACGGCCGCGGCCGGTGCGACTGCGGGGTCTGCATTTGTCACGTGAACGAGCCCGGCGTGTACTTTGGGCCCCTGTGTGAGTGCCGCGAGTGGGTGTGCGAGACCTACGACGGGAGCACCTGCGCAGGTAAGGGGCAGCGGGCGCACTGCGGGCGTCCGGGCTTCCGGGGCGCCCTGGCGGCGGGGGTTTCTGCCACTTGCCGGGGAGACCCTCAGACGGAGCTCGGGGAAGTGACTGCCTTCGCGCAGGGCTTCCCGACGCCCCGCCACTCGGGGCTCACGTGCTGCCATACTTTCCTCCGCCCTAGGGTCCGAACTGAAGTGGAAATAATACTGGTGAAGATTCACTCACTTAACGATAACTCTCCTTATTACAGACTAAGCCCCCAACTTCCCCACAAGGGAAGTCAGTCTGGTGGGCTCCTCTACCCCAATCACGAATGTTAGTCGCATTTGCAGAACATAAGCCTGGATTTTCTTTTTACCAAGGAAAAGCAGGAGACTATTATTTCCCCAAATTCCGGGGGCGGGGGGAGCAGGTTGTGTCTTTGATTTGCCTTCTTATTCTTAGGGTATAGTTCACTGATAGTGTGTATCAGAGAACGATAACAAGGAAAAAAGTAAGCAGATCCATACTGACTTAGAAGCGATTGCTGTTGTATTGGTTTAGCTGCTTGAATTTTTCAGCTGCAGTGAAACTTGGTATTTTGTAAGGGTGCAGTAAAAATAAATTCATTTCTCTTGTACATTTTTAAGGAGTGATTGAGGTTGTGATATTGGAATGGGTCAAGATACTTCTTGGTAGAGAACACCCCTCGCCTATAGCAGTTTCACAGGGACATGCCATTTCCTAGGGCCAGACCCTCGGTTGGGTCACTGGGAATGATGCAGGCGCTCCGTTAGTAAAAGGACAACACGATGCATTCCAACCAGGGTTTGGCAAATTTGTAGGGGGAAAAGAAAATGCACAACTTGTTTTACCCAGGATGTCGTTAAGAATAAGAGTCCAACACTAACAGAGGTGAAGAATGAGTTTATAGCAGAATGGTTTTTCCTGGGCCCCTGGGCCCAGAAATGCATAGTGAGAGTATTTAATATGCACACCGCTTGGCAGTGGAAAGTAATCATGTCAGTAATTTGGAGGGGCACAGGTGCTTCTCTGTGGCTGGTTTACCCTCTAAAGGCTGGGGCTCAACCCTTTAAAAAAATTTTTTTTAAATTTATTTGACAGAGAGAGACACAGCGAAAGAGGGAACACAAGCAGGGGGGGAGGGAGAGGGAGAAGCAGACTCCCAGCCGAGCAGGGGGAGCTCAACCCTTTAAAAATACTGAACACCACAGCTCGTTATTTTAATGGTGTCCGTCCCACAGGCTGCAGTATTATTAAGGGCAGCCCTTTGGAATGAAAGCTAAGTATTGTCTAATATTTCATTCCAAATCTGACTGTTAACCTGGCTTCTCTTGGCTTATACTCCCTCCGGCAGGGTCTCTTCAATATCATGAGTTCCGAACACATTTTTTCAGGGCATTTTTGAGTTGTTCTTTCATCTAATCACTTTTGAAATATATCACTTAAAAGAGTTTCCATTTTAGTGACTAGGAAGAGCTAATTGAATTAAACTTAGCAAATACTTATGAGGTGCTCTATATTTACTAGACTCTCTGCTGTTGGAATTCTGCAGAGGGAATGCTATGGCCTATAGTGCTCTTGTTGGTCCCCCATGGAAAGTGATTTGTTGTTTACCCTTAACATATTAGTCATTGCATTCTTTCCTCCCTGATGCAAATGCAGGACTGAATCATGCATGGTTTTGTTTGCATATGTACACATTCCCGTGGAAGGTAAGATGCTTCTCTTTATTTCAAGGCTGAATGAAGTAACTGTGTTCGTTTTCCATTCTCCTCTTTGTGACTGATGCCCACCGAGGCCTGCTCCACCGGGCCTGGTGCGGGATCTGCCCCTGCAAATGCTCTGAGATCATTTGCCAGGCCAGTGCGATCTTTCCACACAGCACGGTCATGGGGCTGCCTCAGCAACTCGCCTACTTGTTCTGCGCTTCAAATGTAGCTTCTCAAGTCTGCCTTCAAGAAAAAGTTCCTGTGTTGTAGCTAGTAAGACAGAAGCATAGCAGGTTGTCTTCTATGTTTTTATGTGCACCTGGGCCTTTACCTCTGTGGGGTGTTCTAGAAATAGAGTAGCTTTCAGGGACCTCCATACCCCTTCGAGGAAAATAAAACCCTGCTCTGATAGTGTATCATAGAATGGTTAATACTCTGGGCTCTGGGGGAGGATTTCTGGGAGTCAAATCCCAGCCCCACCACGTAACAGCTGTGTGAACGTGGGTGATTACTGAAACTTTCTGAGCCTCGATGTCTTCATCTATAAAATGGGAATAACAACAATACCTACCTTACAGGATTGTTGTGAGCTCTGGCGCATGTAAAACTCTTAGAATAGTGTTTTTCACAAAGTGCTCAATACATATAAATATGCGTATAGGCATATAACATTATTATAGATGCACAAAGGTGAGCTAGGATGGATGGGTGGATGGGTGGATGGATGGATGGATAGATAGATAGATAGCTAGATAGATAGCCTAGCTTTGTATTTGTTGGACATTTGATGCAGTGAGAGCAATTTTCTTAATGTAGCCTGGGCCTGTTATTGATCCAAAGCTAAAAAGGTCAAGCAAGGATAGCTATTTTGGCCCAGCCTCAGAGCAGCTCTATTAGCTACACCATGCCCTTTTAAAGTTGGGATAAGAATCCATTGGGATTCTTATACTGTGAATCATAAGAAAGATACTTGTTTTAGTTTGAGCCTGGTTGAAAGTGATTACATTTATATTAATGTATAACTAATGTATAATCCAGTGTCTACTTGTTCATGGCACATGAATCTTCCTTGGACTTTTATAGTGTAAAGGTCTGGCCCAGAGATTATTCCTGTGTATGGGGTGGTCAAATGAGAAGTAAACTAATTTGGGTGGAATATTTCTTTGAGAAGAGTACAGTGTTTGGTTACAGAAGAACAAACTTTCAGCTAATATTGCAAGGCATCCCTGAATAACCCCCTTAACAGGTATGATTATACTTAAATAAAATATTGTGTTCGTTTAAGATCTTTTCTAATCACTTTTGAAATATATCACTTAAAAGAGTTTCCGTTTTAGTGACTAGGAAGAGCTAATTGAATTAAACTTAGCAAATACTTATGAGGTGCTCTATACTTACTAGACTCTCTGCTGTTGAAGGGGTATAAAGATGAAGACAATATGACAACTTCCCATTGAGTAGGGAGATGAAAATACCAAATACCTATAATGCAATGCAGAATATCATTTCTACAAATTTCTATGAGAGTTTTACTGAGGCAGGAATTAAATATTGTGGCTAAAGTTCTTGAGAAAGAGGTAGCCTTTGACATAAATCTTTATGCATAGGGAGGTTTTTAGTCCAAAACGTGGACTGTTGGAATTCTGAGGGAAGAAAAATCCAAGCAGTGGTTTAGAGGCAGAAAGGCATGTGGTGAGTGTGTTTGGGGACCAGTGAAGTATTCTAGGTTTGGCCTGGCTGGATCTTAGGGCTGTGGGGAAAGTAGTTGTAGATATTTTGAGTTACAGTTGCACACATTGTTGAGAGCTCTGAACTTGAATGTGAAGTTTGTGCTTATCAGAGCCATGGAGTGGTTTGAACATGGGAGCTTTGATTAGTACTCTGACTCATGAAAAGTGACAGGGTAGGGTGCTTGAGGGCAGGGGAGGTTAGGGTAGACACTTGATGGGGATGAGCTCAGTTTAGAGACTATTTCAATTCTAGCCCATGGGAGAGAGTAAGATAGAACAATGATGAATTTTAAAGACTGTTGAAGATACAATCAACATGCTTTAGGACCCAAGGATGAGTAAGATGGTCAATCAGTGACTGGGCATATGAGAGAACTGATAGAGTAAGAGTCAGGAGAAAGAACCAGATAACTCCTAATCAGTGGCTAAGACTCTTTACTAAGGAAAGAAAAATGCTTATTTTTAATCTGAAATTGCTATAAAATGAAGAATTATCAGTAGCAGAATGAGTCTGGACTTGACTGGCAGTGGATCCAGGACTAGATGGATCACGTCTGAACTGTTAACTTGGGTTCAATTGCTTATATCCTTAACCTTGAGCCAGTCATCTGATTTCTCTGAAACTTAGATTCTTTTTTTTTGTAACATCTTTATGGATATAAAGAACCTTGTGTCCTGCATTGTATTATTCAGAATAATTTTTATGTTTATGTATAAATACATTTAATATCCATGTAATTATGCATTTATACATTTATTCAGACTATGTATAAAACATCCTTATAAACATTGATTTATGTACATAAACATACACAATATACAAATAATTAAAATACATGGAAACACCCCTAATATATAAATATTAACAATTTTTTTCTTGCAGATATTTTTGACTTTTACACTGCTAAATAAATAGTATGAGAATTGCATGTGATTATTCATGAGAACTGGACTTTCTGGCTCTTTATAGTCTGTCTTAGGACTGATCTGGTTTTCCTCACAGTTGTGTTTTTCTTGAATAGTTGAGTAATTCCCTCCAAGCCTATTTTGCGGAATCACTCTTCGGTTTTTCCTTTCTTAGTTATTTTCCATTTTGCACCTTCTCTGCCTTCCTTCAAACCATATTCTAACTTACTTGCCCCCTCCTTTAACTCTGTCCAGCTCCCCTTGGTACTTCCCATTCTTGCTTCTTCTTTATATCCCCTCTGCATCCCTGTGTGGGGCACCACACACGTAAGAGCACTGTCTGTTCTTTAACACCCCGTCCAGTAAACGATTGTGTTGAACAGACTCACTGCAGTTTCCACATTGCTTCCATTCATGTGTTTTCATCATGGTCTTAACATGTCCATAGTTTTGGAGACCATACTCAGGAGTTCCCTACCACTAGCTCACTCCCTTCATGCGGGCCTCTTTTTTTTGTGAGTTCTACACTCTTAAGCTTATCCATTTTGGATAAATGCACCCTCTCTTACCTCAAGTGACACATAAAAATTAAAGATTTTCATCTTCATTTTCTCTCAACTGTACTGCTTTATTCGGACCCAATACTCTGCCG